ATATGACAGCATTATCCTTCACTATGATCTGATCCCACTCACAATGTCCTCAGAACCTAGCTTGTTTGATTGAACACAATTTGCTTAAATGGAGGGAGGGAGAACTATTTCAGGGTCTTCCAGAGCCCAGGAACCTTACTCACATCAGCTGCATTATCCACACGGGGGGATCTCTGAATAGTATTTAAGTCTAATACTTTGTGTCTCTTAGATTAGCCAAGGAGTTTGACCTTAATTACAGTGACTGTATTTCCTAATGCTATCCTCGCCCTTTTTAGATGGTATTGGAAGAACTACCAACATGTTTTGTCCTTTCTCTTTGCCATTAAAGAGATCAACAAGATCCCCCATTTGCTTCCCAACATTTCTCTGGGTTATAATCTCTACAATGCATTTCCCAGTTACCAAAAGACCTTAGAGAGTGCTCTATTTTTGCTTTCTGGAAGGAACCAGACTCTGTCTAATTACAACTGCCAGACACAGAAGCAATCTGTGGCTATTATTTCAGGAAATACACCAACATTTTCAGCTAATTGGAACCCTTTTGGAACTCTATAAAAGCCCACAGGTAAGTGGGTTGTCAGGTCTGCAGAACAATGTTTGGATCTCCTAATGAAATTCTCTCACATAGAGCAAAGAAAATGTGAAAGCTGAATTAATGCACCCCTTGATAGTTATAAACAGATCACAGGGAACTTCCTGGGTTATGAGACTAACAGTGTAAGGATGATATCTTAAATAAGAAAATAGAATCTGAGGCTCTACCCAGATTCCTGTCCATGACCAATGCATATAACCCCAAAGCTGGGAATATTGACTGTTGAGAATTTTTAAATGTGTGCCTTCTAGAAAATGCACATAGCATAGTGGTCAAACCATATCTTAGGAGAAGACATTATTAGGGCCATCCAGAGAAAAATGATGATTAGATCTGGCTATCACTTGGGACAAATACAAATACATTCCAGCAGAGATGTCCCCAAATTGGCTATATCTGTTGTGGTTCACCAACAACCATTACTCATACCTATGTAGGTGAACCTGTTGAAAGCACTTTCAGTTAGTCTCCACATAACAACTCTCAATTTCTGAGATTATTTCCAGGAAAACTATCTAACACAAGCATTACTCAGGAGACATTACTGGTAAAACATACAGCATCAACTTAGAATTATGTTCTGCAAAAGTAAAAAAAAAAGTGCTTGCACATTTATATTCATTGCAGCCTTATTCCCGATTTTTTTTTCTTTTTTTAGAGAGTTTTTTTTTTTCCTATTGGGTGTGTACATTCACCAGAAAGACAGAGAGAGACAGAGAGATAGAAAGCAAGAAATCGCCCCCCAGAGGAGATGGCCATGCCACAATCCCTTCTCCTCCATTCTCCTCTTGGGATCTTGGGCACGCATGCACACGTGCCTGGTGTGAGTTTAAGCCATGGGGTCCAGGACTCAAACCGTGGTCGACTACATGGGAGTCCAGTGACATAGCCATTACACTAACTGCTGGTCCTACGATTGTTAAGATATGGGATCAACCCAAAGATCTACAAATAGATGAATGCAGTGAAAAATTGTGGTACATATACTCCATGGAATACTATTCAGCCATAAAAAACAACAAGGTCATAGAATTTGACAGAAAGTGAATGAATATGGAAGTTTTGTTGCTGAGTGCAGCAAGTCATGCTATGAAGGAGAGACATTGCATGTCTCCACTTTACATGTACCGACTGTCTACACTCTGTGGTAGAGATTAAAAGACTGGAGAACATAACAGTATTAAAAATTGTAATTGACACTAGAGACAAAGTGGAAAGAGAGTATGAGGAGAAGAGTGTAGGAAATTTGGGGGGTGGAATGGAGAGGTAAGACACTTGTGGGACACAGGTAAGGTCTATTATCTGTTGATGAGTGGTGGTCTCAACTGGGCTAGACTGAGGTATATATCATGCTGGGTAAAGTTTCTTTACAATCTAAATGATGTATAGCAATTTAATGCATGAATAATGTTAAACATATAAATAAAAATAAAAAAATAAAATAAATTCTCCATTGGGAGACTCATAAACTTAAAAAAAAAGTCAGAGAGGGTGTTTGTATTTTAAAAAATAAAAAGAGGTTATACTTTGGTGACAAGTCCACAGTAGCAAAAGATTGGAGTTTCTACTTAACATTGATTGGAAAGGAGAAAGCATCTAATTGACAAGTCAGAGGGGTCCAGCATGACAGAATCACCAGTATCTTTGTGCATCATCTGCATAAAGTTTATCCCTTCTTCAGTTCCCTCTGTAGATGTAAAGAGCAGATGTAAATATATTTAACATCACACTTTTTATTTAATGCTTTTGTCAAGGAGCAACAGAACTATCTGAACTAGTCACATGATCTTTCCTAGAACAATTAGAATTGAGAAACCCAATTTTCTAATGACCACCAGACAAGGTCATCTGCACAGCAGATTTGCTATTCACCTAATATCCCATTAATTTGTCTTACCTGGAGATACTCAGAATTATCAGAATTATCTCCTACCTGTTTAAGTGAAACAACCACAAATTTCACTAAGGTCAGAATCAAGCTACTTCTTTTCTTATTCAGATCACATACAGTTCTCTTGATACCATCCTAGCTGATGAAGAACAATTTCCATCAATTTATCAGATGGCAACCTAAGAAAGCTCCTCTGGAACATGGAATCATCTGGTTGTTGCTACATTTTGACTGGAAGTGGGTGGCACTCTATGTATCTGATAACAGGCAAGGGGAGCTGTTTTTACAGCATCTAAAGGCAGAGATGATAAAAAAGGACATCTGTGTGGCCTTTACAGAAAAACTTTCTGCCACAACTGGTCTTACTACATTTCATGACTTCAATTTTATGACTAAAATAAAAGTTTTATCTGCAAATGTATATATATTATCTGGAGGTGAAGTGAGTATTTTCAGTCTGAAATTTGAAAAAGAATTTTATTTAATTTCAGGAAAAGTGTTGATCATGATAAATGTCCATTCATCACAGTGGGAAAGTGTTTTGTCTCTCATAGATAGAGAACAGTACTTTTTCCATGGAGCCTCTTATTTTCAAGCCAGGAAAGGGAAATCCCTGGCTTCAAACAATTTCTCAAGACCGTTAATCCTTCTCAATACCCAGAAGACTTTTACTTTGGTAAACTCTGGATTTCCTTTTTTAATTGTTCACTTGCTGGCTCAGTTTGTGGCAAAACTGGAGACTGTCCATCAAATTCTTCCTTAGAGTTTGCACCATCTCCTGTGGACATGATGACTGTGTCAGACTCCAGCTTTTTAATCTATCATGTTGTGTATATGGTGCACCAAGTGTTTCATGAGATACTTTTGAAGAAAATGCAAATGGAATCTCCAAAAAATGCTGACCAACGTGTGCTTCTTTCCTGGCAGATAAAACATTTTCCAAAACCAGAATATGCATCAGGCATGTTCAAATACTGCCAGTGCTTGGAGGTATTTTATTAAGCTGCAACATTGTGACCATGCTTTGTTCAACAGGATAAAACACAATGAATAATTTTTTTGCACTACATATAAGTATATATGTAATTACTATGTTTATTTAGAGAATTCTGCCATTAGGAACTTAGACCTTTAAAGTATTTAACTGTATCAGAAAAAATATTTTCCTGTAGAATTAAATTTTCAAAAATATCCAAGAAATGATTAACGATAAAACAAAGATTAAAAAATGATCAAATACATATATATTTTCTAGGAGTTTATACAAAGCCAATGAACATTGACATAATGGCCATTTCTGATCCTACCTAGTTTATCTACAGTGATATATATGCTGTTGCCCAATCCCGCCATGTAATGCTTTTGGTGAGAACACTAATGGGTTTTACCCAATATCCTAAAATGATTCATAGAAACAAATTATTTTTTCTTAAGTATACTTATGTGCAAAAATTATGGGAATAGGGATCATCATTTAATTTTTAAAATTTACATCATTTAAATGTATTATTATTATTACTAAATTTGACCATAGAAAAACAGATAGAAAGAGACAGAAAGTTAGAAAGTAAGCAACCAGGTCTGAAACTAAAACTACAGTCAGTCATGTGGGAGTCCAGTATCTTTAATCACCATGCCACCTGCCGGCCCCCCATCATTTAATTTTAAGTATGAAGCAAATTATAATACATGTAAGCTCAGAACCACATTCTACTTGATTTACAAGTAATTTTATATTTTAAACTAAACATATCTAAATCAAAATATTATGTATAAATATCTTTATGGAAGGGAGATTAGTCAAATTTGTTGAGCAAATCAAGTAAATGTAAAATATATACATGTATAAAGTTTAGTTTGCCATCTAATTAATTTTTTATTTTAATATTTATTTTTTCCATTTAATCATTGTACATCTTTATTGAATACAATATAGTTACACAAAGCATGCATTCAGTGTATGTTAATCAGGTCAAAGATGTTGCTATATATATTATTTCAATAGAGAACTTTATATTATTGTTTTTTGTTAACTTTTTCTCTATTTGTACTAGCATTTATAATCTTTCATCTTCAGTTTGTGCTAAATTAATGTTCATTCTTAGAAAAGCAGGTAATCTTGTCAAGATGGAAACATAGGCATAGGCAAGTGGTGTGTGGTTAAGGATGATGGACTTCCACAAGGCTGACCACAGTTCCAGTCCCAAAACTGGTGGCTTGCTTTCTCATTTTCTCTGTCTCTTTCTCTCTTTCTCTCCATGGTCAAATTAAAATAAGTAAATAAAGTTAAATAATAATTTAAAAAATCTTTATAAAAAAGATGGAAGCATAGTTGTGACTACAGCCTACTTAGATTGCTTCTATTCCAAAAAAATTACACAACAGTGTATAAATTATAAAACAATTACTTTCTGCAATGAAATGTTAGTAATCCAAAGGTTAAGAGCTTTATATGCTTTCTAAAAATCTCTTTAGAATTCAAGAGTTTTATATTTATGTATTGACATAAATTGTTCCTTGTAATGTCACATGACAATTGCTTTTAACAAAATATCTGAAATAAAGAAAAAGAACAGGACTGATTCTGTGATATGGTGGTTAAGTCAGCCTGATCCCACATGGCCTACTATAGGGTTTGTGTCTCAGACACAGGAGCTTTAGAAACAAACTGGGTGCATGCGTGTGCATGTCCAATATCCCAAAAAGGAAGGGGACATAGAGAAGGGATCGTGCTACCACCATTCCCATGGAGTGTGCTTTCTCCTCTTCCTCTTGCTATGTCTCTCTTTGACAAGTATGCATGTGCCCTAGCAAAATCAAAACAAAACAACAAAAGAGGGACCAGCAGTTAGCATAATGGCTATGTCACTGAACTCCCATGTAGTCAACCGCGGTTCGAGTCCCGGACCTGGTGGCTTAAACTCACGCCAAGCGCGAGAGAAGATCCCAAGAGGAGAATGGAGAAGGGATTGCGGCCTGGCCATCCCTCCTGGGGGGTGATTTCTCGCTTTCTATCTCTGTCTCTGTCTTTCTGACGAGCGCACGCGCCCTATAGCAAAAACCTGTCCAAAAAAAAAGCAAAAGACAAAGAGTAAATTTTTCTTTCTCTTTTAAAAATTTTACTAAAATGTATTTGATAGCCACAAGTTCCACTTATTTAATTCATAAACTTGAATGAGTTTAGACACACACATAGTTTACAATGTTTTCAGCACTATGTAGAAATTAAACATGTCCATCTATGTTGTGCTTTGTTTAAAGCAGTGAGATTAGCTTCCAGGAAGTGCAAACCTAACTTTATTAGTCTGGTTTTTACCAAAATTCATGGTCAAATCAGCTTCTGTGAAACTTCATAGAATTTTTTCTGAAAATATACGATTGCTCCTATCTTGTTTTCACTAATAGGAAAAAGTTTATTTTGCATGTGCCATGAGATGGTAACTACCCAAACAAAACTAAACCTCTACCAAAAAAGAAACCTAAGAGTAGAAATTAAGGGATTACTTCATAGTTATAAACCTTCTGCCTTTATATTAAATTTATTTCTAATTTCTGAATTGTACCTCTAATCCAGTTTCATTCATTTCTGAGGAAAAGCCAATTTACAAACAGCACTGGGTACAATATGCCCCTAAATGAAAAAAGAAATGATATGATACAGTATAATATCCTGAATCTTGTTAAGTTTTCTAACCACAGTTGGCTACTGGTTAAAGTAGGGAACTTTGTCTATGGGAACTCCCATGATCATGGCTTGGTCATCAATCAAGACATAATAAAGTGGCCTGTCAGTTTCAAAAAGGTATGCTGTCATTTCAGTATTAAATGTATACAGAAGTACCTGACCAGTGTCCTAAAATAAGTAACTACATTAATTCAGCATTAAATACACTTTTTAAAAGATTTATTTTATTTTATTTATTATTTAAATTTGCTATAAGGTATATGTGCTCACCAGAGAGAGAAAGAGAAGAAAACATTTAAGGGACACAAAAGTGGAAAATTATCTGTTGATGATGATAATCCATATAGTAATATCTTTGGACAAATTTACAGTGTATTCATGCTGGTAAAATTCATTTTTTATGCTGTAATAATACATAGTGATTGCATGTGAAATAAAAACAATAATAAATTTTTAATTGAAAAAAAGTGAGAAAGCAAGATGCCAGATTCAGTACTTAAAGCATGGTTAGCCATGGGTGAGTCCAGCACTGTCACCAACACATCATATGCTGGCTCCTAAATATACTTTTTACATCTTGACTTTTTTTATTATGTAATTTTGATTACACATAGTTTAAACTGTAACTATAGAAATAACTGATTTGTATTTGTATACACCACTATTTTTAAATTTAGGTATTTTTGTAGTAGCACTTCAATTAATAAAATAAAGAAGTTTTTGAATATGTATACATAGCCAAACATTACTTAATGACAGAAATATGTTCTGATAAATATATTTTTAGGCAATTTTGTTATTAGGCTAACATCATTGATTGCACTTATGTAAACCTAGATAGTACTGCTACTACACACACAGAAACTACCCTGTTACCTTAAGAACTGTCATATATCGGGACCAGCAGTTAAGGTAATGGCAATGTCCCTGGACTCGCATGTAGTCGACTGCGGTTCGCGTCCCCGACCTGGTGGCTTAAAACTCAAGCCAGGCATGTGTTCATGCATGTCCAGATCCCGAGAGAAGAATGGATTGCTTTGTGGCCATCTCCCATGGGGGGTGATTTCTCGCTTTCTGTCTCTCTGTCTCTCTCTGTCTATCTGGCGAGCACACATGCCCTATAGCAAAAACCTCTCAAA